ATTTATAAACGGGATTTTAACATAATCATTTGTTTTTGTACAAGTGATACTTTCATCCAGAGGTTCATTATTTAGAAATTGGGATTTATGGCAGGCATGGCGGTGCACACCTTTAATCCCAGGACTTACGAGGCAGAGGCAGTCAGGTCTTTGTTGCAGGCCAGCCAGGGATACACAGTAAGACTGGGCCTCAATGAATAAAACAAGAGCTAGAGAGATGGCCCAGGCTGCTCTTCCAGAGGACCTGGGTTCAATTCCCAGTGTCTACATGGTGGCTAACAACCATCCGTAATTCCAGAGGCCTAGGGGCCCTGACCCCTTTCACTGGCCTCCTTGAGCACAAGGTACACATGTGATAAACAAGCATGCAGGCAAAATATTCATATATACTCAAACAAAAACAAAAAACCAAAACCAACCAAACAAAAAAACACATCAAAACTTGGAGGCCAGAACTGGAAAGAAATGGCCACAGTCACGATAAAAGGCACGTGAAAATGAGGTAGACACGCTTATAGTTCAGTTCAGCTCCTGGGAGGCTCTGAGCAGCTCCCAAGCTTCACGGGTTGCATTTACTCCACATTGTGAGGTATTAGAGAGCAGAAATAACTATGGTATTTAGAGACTGAGCCTCTGGGGACCGACGAGGTTTAGATAAGGCACTAGGGTGGAGCACCCATGATTAAACTGGAGAAGGTTTTTGTTTGGTTTTAAGACAGGGTCTCACTATGGAGTTCTGGCTGGCCTAGAACTCAGATATATTGCTATGTCTGCCTCTGGAGTGAGTCCCAAGATTTTTTTAAATTTTATTTTTTAAATAAAAGGGACAGAGACCAAACAGAAATGCAAACATGCATGCCATGTACCTCTTGCCATAAGATGCTCTATCACTGAAAGACTGCTAGTAAGAAGGGGCCCCCTTGATTGCACACCTCCAGAACTATAAGCCTAAACAAACTTCTTTTCTTTGTAATTTACCCAGTCTGTAATATTATGACAACAAAAACAACAAAACTCTAGCCAACCAATAAAAATAAAGAAATAAATTAAAAAAACAACTCTATACTAATACAGTACCTTATCTGAGAAATAATCCATAAACAGTCTTCTTTTGGGAGATCTGATAATCACTAAGCCTTAGCAGGAAAATGGATTTTGATATCTGCTTACTTATTTAGGAGATGGGGACCTGCTACTTTGCCTACACTGGACCCGAACTCCTGGGCTCAAGAGATTTTCTTGCCTCAGCATTTCAAGTAGCCGAGACAACAGGCATGTGCTGCTACATCCAGTGTTGATGTTTTAAATTTAAAACATCACTAATTTAAACCTTGGTGTGGTATAGAGAACAGGTATTAACGGTACACATTTTTTTTTTGTCAAGGGCCAGGAAATAAATATATTTGAGAGCTATCTGTGTAGTGTCCAAACTCCGAGGCAGAACTTGAGTAAAGCGTGAAGGTACAGCACATTAATGGGTGAATGGTTATCGTCCAGAAAGACTATTGATGGCAACAGCTGGCCCAGGTTACCTGCCTTAATCAGTGCTCTAAACAACAGGAGGCCGTAGGAGGTTCCTGACAAAACAAGCACAAGTGCGCTTCTGCAGTTACATTACCATGGACGCTGCAACTTGAACCCCACATGCACTAAGACCATTCCTTTTCTTTTCCTTGGCTTTTCGAGACATGGTTTCTCTGTGACAGCTCTGGCTGTCCTGGAACTTGATTTGTAGACCAGGCTGGCCTTGAACTCATTGATCAGCCTGTCTCTGCCTCCCAAGCATCCAAGCATGTGCCATTACCACCCAGTGCACTAAAACTGTTTCTCTTTCCACAATTTTTTTTTTTGGTAAGACAGGGTCTTTTCTGTCACAAGTGGGGGCCACCACGCCTGGCTTCTCCCACTGTTTTTGTTTGGTGGCTGTACAAAAACAAGTGATAAAATCATCTCTATGTCATCCCTAGCTTGCAAGTGTGGTGATCTAGTGTGTACCCCAATAAAGCTTGCCAGAGGATCAGAGGACAGAGCCAGCCACTAGATTAGACATAGAGGCCAGGCAGTGGTGGCGCACACCTTTAATCCTATCTCTCGGGAGGCAGAGATCCATCTGGATCTCTGTGAGTTCAAGGCCACACTGGAAAGGGAGCCAGGCAGTGGTGGCACACACCTTTAATCCCAGTACTGGGAAGCACACACGCCTTTAATCCCAGGAAGTGACAGCAGGGCGGAGAAAGGTATATAAGGTGTGAGGAAACAGGAACTAAAGCAGTTCAGCTGAGATCCTTTCAGGTGAGGACTCAGGTTTTCAGTCAGTGGATTTGTGAAGATGGTAAGGTAAGGTTGGCTATGGCTTTCTCTGCTTCTCTGATCCACAAGGCAAACTTTATTAGGGTAAACAATATGTATTCACCACATGCAGGCTTATGATTTAAGAGTTTATGGGATACCCTGGATTGGAAATCTGTTAGAGAAGCCAAAATCAAATCCTAACATATCTCACTTGATTACTGGCATTTGCTTAACGTTTAGCTGTTAAGAATGAACTGAGGTGCTGGGCAGTGGTGGCACACGCCTTTAATCCCAGCATTCGGGAGGCAGAGCCAGGCGGATGTGAGTTCAAGGCCAGCCTGGGCTACCAAGTGAGTTCCAGGAAAAGGCGCAAAGCTATACAGAGAAACCCTGTCTCGAAAAACCAAAAAAAAAACCAAACAAACAAACAAAAAAAGAACTGAGGTAACATTAAAATATTATATATTACAAAGTACCAAGAAATAGGAAATGCTAATTTGTTATATGACTTTGCTTAGAGACAGTTTATCAAGTCATTGCACAAATCGGAGCAACAATTAAAAAAAACAGAGAATGTAGTTTAGAAATAAAGTTATATTGCTTAGAATAAAGCCTTGTGTTCAAATTCTAGCACCAAATGTGGTGTGTGCAAAGGAGTTATCAAGACATTTACCTAGGCAGAAGATGGGTTACAGGAAAAAGGAAACTGTCATTTGTAACTTCTAAATTGATCCTTTAGTTTGGGATTACACATTTAAAGAAAATCAAACATGCTGGTAAGTGGCTCATCAGTTAAGAGCACTTAGTGCTGTTGCAGAGGGCTGGGCTTAATCTTTATCACCACGCAGTGGCTCACAAACACCCTAACTCTGGTTCCAGAGACTGAACGCCTTCTTCCGGTTTCCTTGGGGGCATTGCAGGCACGTGGGGTACATAGATGCATGCAAGGGAAAGACTTCTACACATACAACAAGGCTTTTAGTTCAATTCTGTGTGTCATTTTCTTAGAAATAGCCAATAGATCTGACAGGGTTTCTCTATGTAGTTTTGGTACCTGTCCTAGAACTGGCCTGGCGCCAATAGATCTTTATATATACTTTGAATGAGCGCAGCAGCGCAAGAACACAATTTTTATTTACTACTCAGAATCTGTGAAACAGCAGTACTGGTCAGGAGAGAGCTCCGGAATCAAAGGACTTTACTACCTGGGAGACCTGGAGAGACTTTTCTTTCTTGGGCGTCAGTTAATTTGTAGGCAACTTACGGGTAAAAACATTCCCAAAGATTTGTCAAAGGCAGTGGTGGCGCACGCCTTTAATCCCAGCACTCGGGAGGCAGAGGCAGGTGGATCTCTGTGAGTTCGAGGCCAGCCTGTGCTACAGCGTGAGTTCCAGGAAAGGCGCAAAGCTACACAGAGAAACCCTGTCTCGAAAAAAACAAACAAAACAAAAAAAGTAGAAATCAAACACGAAAGTGGTGCAGCTAGACCGTTAGTAACAATGATAAAAACCCATCCATGTACAGGGTCTGTCTTAAAAGGCAAAGATACACAAAAAACCCGGACCGGGTCTCAGAATCGGAAAGTTGGACAAGGCCGACCTCGGTCAACGCCGTGGAAAGCGCATGACCCTTTTCAACCGGCTAAACCCGGTTTCAATAGTACCACGAGTCGCTGAGGTTAAGCCCACAAGCCAAAGCATAAACGCAGTCCACGCACCATCTTAAAAACAGAGGGGTTCACGCACCTGCAAGCCTCGCCACGCTGCTCCAGCACGCACCCGCCGGAAGTTGGCCCGGGGAATTCGGCGCGCGCCGGCCTCCGCCCCGCCCCCGGCGGGCTCCGCTGCCCATTGGCGGATCCTGCTCGGTCTCCGCCCGCGAGGCGATCCGTGGGGTTCCTCCCGCCCTAGGGTGCGGTCCGAGCCTGCTGCCTGCCCAGCCGGGCTCCTAATCCCCGGTAGCACGCTTCCAGCTGACACTTGTCAGCGGTGCCACGTAAGGCCTCCAGGTCTTCCCCGGAGCCTCCTGCACTGGGGACAGAGCCAGGGCTACCTACTCGTGGCTGCTAACGGAGCGCCTGGGCGGACCGGCCAGTGCTGGGCTCTGGAGGAGCCCAAGCGCACCCTGTTTAGAACGCGGGTCGCTCAGACGCTCCCAGCCTTTGCTAAAAATACGTGAGGTCGGTTATAGGAGGGAAGGAGACGGAATGGGAGTTGCTCCTGTCCACTTCACAGTGGGGACACGGGCTGAGGATTTCTTTCTCATGCACGTCTTCCTGATCAAAGTAAACTTGGCGCCTGCAACAAACGCGTTAATGCTCCGTGCCAGATCCCTCCCCCTTGGTTTTTTTTTTTTTTTTTTTTTTTGCTTTGTTCCCTTTCTTCATGGCCTCTAATCTCGAGCATCTACTCGCTAGAGAAAGGCTCTTAAAAGTCCCCGCAGGCTGAGGGGACCAGCAGCTGAAGCTGGCACGGTCGTCTCGGAAGCGACTTCTCCTGTAATGGCGCCTGCGTCAAACACTAACATGGCGGACTAGTTCGTGCGCGGCGCAAACGTCAGCACCTCTACCCCAGCGGCTCAGAAACAGCGGAGGAGAGCGGGGCGGTGCTCGCTGATTGGCTCGTGGGTGGAGCGTGCCCGGCCGGACGCGCCCCTGCGAGCCAATAAGGAAAGGGATAAAAGGAATTGGCCGCTGCGCCTCCTCCAGAGGCATGCTGGGAGCCTGGAGGACTAGCGAGGAGGAGTTGAGAGAACGGAGCGGACGCCATGGCGGCCGACATCGAGCAGGTTTTTAGGTCTTTCGTGGTCAGTAAATTCCGGGAAATACAACAGGAGCTTTCCAGGTAAACTCTTCCCAGACTTTTCTGCCCCTCGCGGGCTGTTAGGGCCTCGTCTATCCTTTCGTGGCATCTTTGACGGAGACGCCGTCGTTTCTCGGCTCAGGCCCCGCTACGGCCCCGCCTGGGCCTGGGATCCATTTTCCGGGCCATCCCCCCAATCTTCCGTTCGTTCCTTTCGAGAAAGATCGCCCCTTCCGTGGTGTTCGCACACGCCATTTCTTTCTTGGAGTTAAGACGTTCACCTTTCTTTCGTTTGGATACCCCCTACCCTTCAGCTACTCCGAGGCCCAGTGTCCACCAGGGACGGGCCTAGTTCCTTCTCCAGCTCCTCCTCCGCCGCCGCCTTTCCCCTCCCCCTCCCCGCCTCCGCGCATTTCGCCGGCCGGTGTCTATGGCCGGAAAGGGTCTCTAACGGCCGCTTCTTGGGTAATCTTAAAACTTCATTATTATTGTACGCTTCAGATCGTTTGGCGGCCGGAGTCTGTTTATTAGACTACTCGAGCCCCAGTTAGTGCTCCGTGCTTTAGACCGGATAGCACTTTTAACAGTTGTAAACTAAAACATCTCAGTTCAGTATGAGACGCATGATAAAATACTCGACAGAGGGATAGAAGGGGGCTTTGAAAGTAGTGACTGCTTAATTTTATTAAGTAGAAAGTGGACTCTGTGTGTAGATCTGTTATTTTTCTTGCTACCCTGACTTAATGGACAGATTTGAAGAACATCACGCTGTTTTTGTCGCTGCTAGTAGACTTAAGAGATTAGCCTTGGTTCCCAAAATTTCAAGTGGAAGAAATTTCCAAACTTGTTTACTCCGGAAAATAGTGCGGGTTATGTTAAATTGTTTTCTTTTAGTTGTTTGTTTCGTATAAAATGACCATTTCTTTAAAATACAGTAAGAAAGTGTTCTTGAAAAGTAAATATTACAAGTTAAAAATGTTCTTACAAATGTTGTAAGTTGAGAACAGTAATATGTGAATTAGAAAATCAGCTGATAAGCAGTTGTAAATTATGTGCCTAAATTATATTATTAGCTAGGGTTATTGGTGCAATAATATTTTATTGCTGGAATTTTCTTTTTTTTTTTTTTTCCCAAGATGTAGTTTTTTTCGTTCTTTTTTTTCCTTTCTTGTGGACAGGCTCTAATATCACTGCGTACAGCCTTGTCATGTAGCTGATACTGGCCTCGCACTCATCACCTCCTAAGTGATGGGTGGGATCACAAGCTTGAGCTACTACCATGTCCCTGGATTCTTTTTAATTTTATTTATTTATTTTTCCTTTTTAGTTTTTCTGAGACAGGGTTTCTCTGTATAGGTGGCTGTCCTGGAACTCGATCTGTATACCAAGCTGGCCTTGAACTCAGAGAGTCACTTGCCTCTGCCTCCTTGAGTGCTGGCATTAAAGATGTGTGTCACCACTGTCCAGCTATTTTTTTTTTTAAGTAGGACTATATATATTCCCACTATGTTGTCTTTTTTTAAAAACAAAACAAAACAAAACATTTTGAGGCATTGGCAAGGTTTTTTTTTTTTACTTTTTTTATTTTTTAAATGAGACAAAACATAAACTAGGGGAATATCATTTTTCTGGAAACTTTTTTTTTTTTTTTGTTGTTGTTGTTGTTTTTGAGACAGGATTTCCCTGTGTAGCTTTGCACCTTTCCTGGAACTCACTCTGTAGCCCCAGGCTGGCCTCGAACTCACAGAGATCTTCCTGGCTCTGCCTCCTGAGTGCATGCACCACCACTGCCCTGCTCTTTTTGTTGTTTTGAGGCAGGGTCTCACTATGTAGCTCTGGCTGATCTAGAACTCACTATGTCGATCAGGCTGGCTTTGAATTCACAGGAATCTGCCTGCCTCTGTTGGGATTAAAGTCCTGTGCTACCACAGCCACCCTTCTGAAAGTTTAAGTAGTTTCCTGTACTAATTGTATTTACTTGTTTTAATAAGGCTCCCCCCACTTTTGTTTGTTTGTTTTTGAGACAGGGTTTCTCTATGTAGCCCTGGCTCCTGGCTGCCCTAGACCTCATTATATAGACCAGACTGGCCTCAAAAAAATCACAGATCCACCTGCCTCTGCCTCCCAAGGGCTGGGATTAAAGATCTGTGACCACCCCCTCCAGTGTTTTTATAGCTTTTTATTACAATATGAGTGATGGCTTTTTCTTGGTTGTTGTAGTAGAAAACTTAGAAACCATAAAAAAGAAAACAAAATTAACTACTGAAATTAGGTTCTTTCCTCCAATATAAACATATCTTCTCTCTTTTTGGAGGATGGGTTTTGAGACAGGGTTTCTTTGTAACAGCTCTGGCTGCCCTGGAACTCACTCTATAGACCAAGCTGGCCTCGAACTTGGAGATCTACCTGCCCCTGCCTCCCAATTTCTGGGATCAAAGGCGTGCATCATCATCATCACCACCACTCAGCCATACGTCTTCTCTTAATGTGATTATACTATGTCCTTTGAAGTCTCAATAATTTCAACATTTTTCATAACTACTTAAATTCCTTTTCAGGACATATTGTTGAATAGCAAAGTGGCTTGAAATTCTAATTGCTTTTCAGTAATTGTAATTAACATCCTGGTAGCTTTAAGAAGAAATTATTGGCTGGTGGTGTTGCATACCTTTGATCCCAGCACTTGGGAGGCAGAGGCAGGTGTATCCTTGTGAGTTCAAGGCCAGACTAGTCTACAGAGCCAGTTCTAGGACAGCTAAGGCTACACAGAGAAACCTTGTCTTGAAAAACCACAAATTTTGGGAGGAGGGATCTTTTTTTTAAAATTTTTTATTTTATTTTTTTATTTTTTTTTGGTTTTTCGAGACAGGGTTTCTCTGTGTGGCTTTGGAGCCTTTCCTGGAACTCACTCTAGCCCAGGCTGGCCTCGAACTCACAGAGATCCACTTGACTCTGCCTCTCAAGTGCTGGGATTAAAGGTGTGCGCCACCACCGCCTGGCGGGAGGGGTCTTTTTTTGATAGCTCTGCCTTCCTCTGCCTCACAATGGCCGAGTTGTCTCCATGCCCAGCTCCTGAATCCTAGTGTTCAGGAGGCAGAGTCAGAAAGATCCCTATGAGTTGGTCTAAATTAGTGAGTTCCAGGCCAGACAGAATAGAGAGACCTGTCTCAAAACCCAAACAAAAAAACCAGGGTATGTATGTATAAATGCTTAGAAAAAGTGTAAAACAATTGTTTTATGAAGTCTGCAAAGAGCATTACAACAAACAGCATGCTATAGGGCACTATAGGTCTAAAACTTTTTTTTTGATTTGCCACTCCAGCGAGCTATTTTTCCCCCATTTGCTTATGTACTCATTAGTATAGATGGTGAGACTAACGTGTAGATGACTAAAATACACAATTTATTGTGTACAGATACATTTCTTCCATTATTAGAAACAATAATAATCCTGATTGTAGAATTTTGTCAAGATTGCATGATTTTTTAAAAATATGTGGCAGGCCAGATGTACATGCTGTCAGCCCCAGCAGTTAGAGGTGGGCAGATCTCATTGAGTTCAAGACCAGTCAGGGCTACATAGTGAGAACTTTGTCTTAAAAACAAAACAACAAAAAGTGGCCCTAGTCAGTATTTATAAATGTTATTTATTAGAAAGCCAGTCATTCCTCATTAAAGTGTTTTTGTTTCTCCAATGAAATTGTTAGGTAGTAGTTTTATGTATATTCAGTTAGTTAAAATTCTAGTTGAAACTGAATGAGTTAAATTTTTTGCAAGTGTACACAAAAATAGTAAAATGTTTACATGAGTGACCTTGTTTTATCTACAGTAACATTCTTTGGCCCTGTGATCTGAAAATAGGTCAGGCCATTTACCTTTTTACTATTTGTATAAACTAGTTCTGTGTGAATTTCTTGAATTACAGAAATTGTTTAGGTGCAGAATTTTTAATAGGTGTAAATTACTGGATACTATTTCCTTTTTAAATTCAAAGACATTTCACTTAAAGTCTGAACCTGATGAAAAGCTACAAGTAACCTTTTACCCAGTGTCTGCCTTGACTGGTTGTTAACAGTGTACAGGGGTGACTTTATTGTGGCTACACTTTCTACCATAATGTTGGGTCATCTATTTTTCTTTGTGTATTGCTCATTAATACTTAGGTAACTGAAAGCTTTAAGTTAGTTTTTTTTAAATTTATTTAATTTTATTTTATGTGCATTGCTGTGAAGGTGTCAGATCTCCTGGAACTGGAGTTATAGACAGTTATGAGTTGTCATGTGGGTGCTGGGAATTGAACCTGGGTCCTCTAGAATAGCAGCCAGTGCTCTTAACCACTGAGCCATCTCGGTAGCCCATTAGTTTATTTTAAAACTTAGAGATATACTTTTAAGGACTTTTCTCTATCACAGTTCTGAAAACTGTAAAAATAAAAGCATTCCATCTGAGTATATAGTGTTAAGAATTATTAATGGCAAACATATGAACTAGAAAATTGTGAGTTATGTGGGCAATATAATGTAATGTAAGATTATGTTAACTAGGTTGTTAATGTTGAATCATGGTGTGATAAAAGTATTCATGAAGATTAAATTTTCTCTTGTGAAGCGGAAGGAGTGAAGGCCAGCTGAATGGGGAAACAAACGCACCTATTGAAGGAAGCCAGGCAGGTGATACAGCCGCCTCTACTCGGAGTCTCCCAAATGAAGAGATCGTGCAGAAGATAGAGGAAGTCCTTTCTGGGGTCCTAGACACAGAACTGCGATACAAGCCAGGTACGTCGAGGGTAACTTTAGAAGCCTAAAAAATTGCTAATGTTGATAGCACTGTTTCTAGGTTAATCTGCTTGTTTGTTTGTTTTTCATGACAGGGTTTCTCTGTGTAGCTTTGGAGCCTGTCCTGGAACTCTGTAAACCAGGCTGGCCTCGAACTCAGAGATCCACCCGCCTCCGCCTCCCAAGGACTGAGATTAAAGGCCTACGCCATCACGCCTGGCTAGGTTAATCATTTTTTTTATAGTGTCTTGAGCTCCTCCTTTGAAAACAGTTATATTCAAACATGGACATTGGAGCACTTTCTTGACTTACTGGTAAAATAAGATTTTTAAATCTATTTAATTCAGTTTTGTTGTGACTAAAATGGCAGGATTTTTCTGTATGTGTCTTCTTTGAAGGATTGTATTAATAACAGCTCTTTTTTTTTTTTTTTTTTTTTTTTTTGGTTTTTCCAGACAGGGTTTCTCTGTGTAGCTTTGCGCCTTTCCTGGATCTCACTTGGTAGCCCAGGCTGGCCTCGAACTCACAGAGATCCGCCTGGCTCTGCCTCCCGAGTGCTGGGATTAAAGGCGTGCGCCACCACCGCCCGGCAATGACAGCTCTTTTTAAGATAGGTTTTGGTGTCTTTTTTTCTCCTAATTTTTATTTTGCATATATGAATGTGTTTGGGCATATGGAAATGTAGGGTGTGTGTGGCTGGTGCCTGAGGAAGGCACGAGGAGGGGATTGGATCCTATGGATTGTAGTTCAGAGTTGTGAGCCACCAAGTGGCTGTTGAGAACTGACCAGGTTCATTTGCAAGAGCAGTACAATCTCTTAAGCACATTTTTCTAGCCCCTAAGTATCAATTTGATAAGGTGCAATATCCTAAACTAAATCTTTAGTGGGTTTTTTGTTTTTGTTTTTTTTTCTTCGAGACAGGGTTTCTCTGTGCCTTTCCTGGATCTCGCTCTGTAGACCAGGCTGGTGTCGAACTCACAAAGATCTGCCTGCCTCTGCCTCCCGAGTGCTGGGATTAAAGGCGTGCGCCACCACTGCCCGGCATCTTTAGTGGTTTTTAAGACACCTTAGATTTTGTTTTAAATCTGATGCTTAGAAGTTGACTTGTGCTAGGTCATGGTGGAACACACCTTTAATCTCAGCACTCCGGAGGCAGAGACAGGTGGATCTCTCTGAGTTCAAGGCCAGCCTGGTCTACAGAACAATTTCCAGGACAGCCAAGGATACACAGAGAAACCATGTCTCAAAAACCAAAACAAAACAAAAAAAGAAGTTGACTTGTTTGTACAAAGCAAGTTGAAGCACAGTCATTGCATAGTATTTCCTCCTTTTTGGAATTGATTGGGTGCTTACAAATGACTTGGTTCAATTCCCAGCACCCATATGGCAGCTCACAACTGTCTATAATTCAAGGATCCAACACCCTCACACAGACATACATATAGGCAAAACCCAATAAGAGAAATAATTTTTAAAAAAATGAAGAGTTTGTGATTAACCACAAAAATAAATTATTACTTGTAGGAATTAGGTGTGTGGTATGTTTCTCTCTGATAAGCCATGGCTTAAAGTAACAGCTAGTCTTGCTTAGATCATGGCTCTGGCATTCTTGTTTGTTTAGGTATAAGCTACCATTTTATCCTGTGATATAAGCAATAGAAAATTATTCATTTTCTTCTGATACAATGTTTAGTGTTGGTATATTTTTTCTTCAATAGTAGGAATCCCTGGTATATTTGACTAGCATTTCCTTAAGGTTTGTCAATTTTTGGTTTTTTTTTTTTTTTTTTTTTTTTGGTTTTTCGAGACAGGGTTTCTCTGTGTAGCTTTGCGCCTTTCCTGGTACTCGCTTTGGAGACCAGGCTGGCCTCGAACTCACAGAGATCCGCCTGCCTCTGCCTCCCGAGTGCTGGGATTAAAGGCGTGCGCCACCACCGCCCGGCCAAGGTTTGTCAATTTTTAAAAAAAATTTAATTACATGTGTGTGAATATGTGCAGGTGTCTGTGGGAACCAGAAGAAAGTGTCAGATCTCCTGTGATCTGCCTGATGTGGGTGTTGGGAACTGAACTCAGGTCCTTTGGAAGAGCAGCCAATGCTCTTAACCACTGAGCCATCTCTCCAGCCCCAGGATTATCAAATTTTAAGCCGAGCGAGTGACATATCACTTCCTGTGTAAATGAGGGCTAATGAAATATTAGTAGAAATTATTTAAATGAGACTTTTTTAATCTTTGGACATTAATCGTGTAATGGGAGTTGTTTTCTTTTAATAGAAATTGAAACAAAATATGAAGTAAATTCATTGACATAATTTTAAAAAACTTGCTATAATTTGAGAACAAAGAGGTTGTGAGGGGGTTCCTTTTTTTGAGACAAGGCCTCACTTTGTAATTCTGACTGGCCTGGAATTTTGTAAACCAAGCTGGCCTTGAACTCACTGAGACCTGCCAGCTTCTGCCTACAGGATGCTGGGATTAAAGGCATGTGCCATCATACCCAGCCGAAGAAAAGAATGATTTTCAAAATATTGTGTGTTTTTGTGCCCACATGAGTGGGTAGCTATCCATGCATGCATGTGTAAACAGCCATGTGTATGTGGACTGCCTTATTTGTGGAAGTCAGGTAATTTATGGAGTTGGTTTTCTTCTATCATATTGGTGATTGAACTTAGATCATCAGGTTTGGCTACAAGTGTCTTTACACACTGAGCTGCCTCATTGACCTTGAGGAAAAAAATAACTTTAGATTTAGTGAAACACTCCCATGCCCCCCTACCATCACTAGGGGTAAAAATTGAAGCTAAGTCTCTATACATGCTAAGCAAACACTCTGACCTTGAGCTATATCTTACCTTAAAACATAAATCATTTAGTTCTAAATAGGTTTTTGTGTTAGACCAAGAATTTGTTTTCATGATTTTAGTTTTATAAATCCTGGAGAAATGGCAGCCCTCAGGTTTACTGGTTAATAGACAATAGATTATTTTGTAAATTTTATTTGCAGTAAGATTAATTATACAATGACTTCTACGTGTAAATGAAACAAGTGGCAATTTGTATGAATCTACTTTGGGGAATGGCTGACAAGTTTTCATTACTTTCAGACTTGAAGGAGGCCTCCAGAAAAAGTAGATGTGTGTCTGTACAAACAGATCCTACTGATGAAGTTCCCACCAAAAAGTCAAAGAAGCATAAAAAGCACAAAAACAAAAAGAAGAAAAAGAAGAAAGAAAAGGAAAAAAAATATAAAAGGCAACCAGAAGAACCTGAGTCCAAGTTGAAATCTCATCACGATGGGAGTGTTGATCTAGAATCTGATTCCTTTTTAAAGTTTGATTCTGAATCTTCAGTGATGGCACTGGAACATCCTGTAAGAGCATTTGGCTTTTCTGAGGCCAGTGAAACCCCTCTAGTGCTGGAACCTCCAGTAGGATCGGTGGAGGTTCAGGAGTCACATATGTTAGAGACTCCGAAGCCTGCTACCCAGCCTGCAGAACTGTGTTTTGGATCTGCACCAGTCATCTCAGAGCAGTCTGAGCAGCCTGCGTCAGTAATGATGGAACCGTCACCGACCAAGATTCTGGATTCCTTTGCAGCAGTAGCAGCAGCAGCGCTAAAGTCACCTGAGCCGGTTGTAACAATGTCAGTGGAGTATCAGAAGTCTGTGCTGAAGTCTTTGGAGACTACGGCTCCAGAGCTATCAAAGGCCACGCCGGTAGAGCTTCCCGTAGCAAACGTGCTTGAGCCATCAGAAACCCTCATGATAGTATCAGAGACACCTACTGAGGTGCACCCTGAACCAAGCACATCAACAATGGATTTTCCAGAGTCATCTACAACTGATGCACTAAGATTGCCAGAGCAGCCTGCAGAAGCACCATCGGAGATCGCAGATTCATCCTTGACAAGACCTCAGGAGTCACTGGAGCTGCCGAAGAGCACAGCGGTGGAGCTGCAGGAGTCGTCGGTGGCCTCAGCCCTGGAGTTGCCGGGGCCACCTGCGACCTCCATGCTGGAGTTGCAGGGGCCCCCTGTGACTCCAGTGCTGGAGTTGCCTGGGCCCTCTGCCGCCCCAGTGCCAGAGTTGTCAGGGCCCCTTTCTACCCCAGTGCCTGAGTTGCCAGGGCCCCCTGCCACAGTAGTGCCTGAGTTGCCGGGGCCCTCTGTGACACCAGTGCCACCATTGTTGCAGGAATTGCCAGGGCCTCCAGCGCCATCCGTGGGGTTGGAGCCACCACAGGAGGTACCAGAGCCACCTGTGATGGCACAGGAGTTGCCAGGGGTACCTGCAGTTTCAGCGGCAATAGAATTGACAGGGCAACCTGCAGTAACAGTAGCAATGGAGTTGACCGAACAGCCTGTGACGACGACAGAGTTCGAGCAGCCTGTGGCGATGACGACGGTGGAACATCCTGGGCATCCTGAGGTGACAACAGCAACAGGGTTGCTGGGGCAGCCGGAGGCAGCGATGGTGCTGGAGTTGCCAGGACAGCCAGTGGCAACCACAGCTCTGGAGTTGTCTGGGCAGCCTTCAGTGACTGGGGTGTCAGAGTTGTCAGGGCTGCCTTCGGCAACTGGGGCACTGGAGTTGTCAGGGCAGCCTGTGGCAACTGGGGCACTGGAGTTGCCTGGGCAGCTTATGGCAACTGGGGCACTGGAGTTCTCGGGGCAGTCTGGGGCAGCTGGAGCACTGGAGCTTTTGGGGCAGCCCCTGGCAACAGGGGTGCTGGAGTTACCAGGGCAGCCTGGGGCGCCAGAGTTGCCTGGGCAGCCCGTGGCAACTGTGGCGCTGGAGATCTCTGTTCAGTCCGTGGTGACAACATCGGAGCTGTCAACGATGACCGTGTCGCAGTCTCTGGAGGTGCCCTCGACGACAGCGCTGGAATCCTATAATACGGTAGCACAGGAGCTGCCTACTACATTGGTGGGGGAGACTTCCGTAACAGTAGGAGTGGATCCCTTGATGGCCCAAGAATCCCATATGTTAGCTTCTAACACCATGGAGACCCATATGTTAGCATCCAACACCATGGACTCCCAAATGCTAGCATCCAACACTATGGATTCTCAGATGCTAGCATCCAATACCATGGATTCCCAGATGTTAGCGTCTAGCACCATGGACTCCCAGATGTTAGCCTCTAGCACTATGGACTCCCAGATGTTAGCAACTAGTTCCATGGACTCCCAGATGTTAGCAACCAGTTCCATGGACTCCCAAATGTTAGCAACCAGTTCCATGGACTCCCAGATGTTAGCAACCAGCTCTATGGACTCCCAGATGTTAGCAACCAGCAGTATGGACTCCCAGATGTTAGCAACCAGCAGTATGGACTCCCAGATGTTAGCAACCAGCTCCATGGACTCCCAGATGTTAGCAACCAGCAGTATGGACTCCCAGATGTTAGCAACCAGTTCTATGGATTCCCAGATGTTAGCATCTGGTGCTATGGATTCTCAAATGCTAGCTTCTGGCACCATGGATGCTCAGATGTTAGCATCTGGTACTATGGATGCCCAAATGTTAGCATCTAGTACCCAAGATTCTTCTATGATGGGTTCAAAATCTCCTGATCCTTATAGGTTAGCTCAGGATCCTTACAGATTAGCTCAGGATCCCTATAGGTTGGGTCATGACCCCTATAGGTTAGGCCATGATGCTTATAGGTTAGGACAGGACCCTTACAGATTAGGCCATGATCCCTACAGACTAACTCCTGATCCCTATAGGATGTCACCCAGACCCTACAGAATAGCACCCAGGTCCTATAGAATAGCACCTAGGCCATACAGGTTAGCACCTAGACCCTTGATGTTAGCATCTAGACGTTCTATGATGATGTCCTATGCTGCAGAACGTTCCATGATGTCATCTTATGAGCGCTCTATGATGTCTTATGAACGCTCTATGATGTCTCCTATGGCTGAGCGCTCTATGATGTCAGCCTATGAGCGCTCTATGATGTCAGCTTACGAGCGCTCCATGATGTCACCTATGGCTGAGCGTTCTATGATGTCAGCTTACGAACGCTCTATGATGTCAGCTTACGAGCGCTCCATGATGTCCCCTATGGCTGATCGATCTATGATGTCCATGGGTGCCGACCGGTCTATGATGTCATCGTACTCTGCAGCTGACCGGTCCATGATGTCATCGTACTCTGCAGCTGACCGATCTATGATGTCATCTTACACTGATCGATCAATGATGTCTATGGCAGCTGATTCTTATACTGATTCTTACACTGATTCCTATACGGAGGCATATATGGTGCCTCCTTTGCCTCCTGAAGAGCCCCCAACAATGCCACCATTGCCACCTGAGGAACCACCAATGACACCACCATTGCCTCCTGAGGAGCCACCAGAGGGTTCAGCATTATCTACCGAGCAATCAGTATTAACAGCTGACAATGCTTGGCCTACAGAGGTGACATTACCTACTGAAGAATCTGTAGCACAGCCTGAGCCTCCTGTGAGTCAAAGTGAGATTTCAGAGCCTTTGGCAGTACCTGCTAGTTATTCAGTGTCAGAATCAGAGACTTCAATGTTAGCATCAGAGGCTGTTATGACTGTTGCAGAACCTGCACACGAGCCAGAGTCTTCAGATCTGTCAGCACCAGTTGAGTCTGCTGGAGTAGCAGAACATGAAATGGTTACAGAGAGACCAGTGACTTACATGGTTTCTGAGGCTACCATGTCAGCTGAACCAGCTGTGTTATCAGAGCCGGAGACATCAGAAACATATGATTCCATGAGGCCATCAGGACATGCTGTATCGGAGGTATCTATGTCCCTCCTGGAGCCAGCAGTAACTATTTCACAGCCAGCAGAGAGCAGTCTGGAGCTGCAATCCATGGCTGTCCCAGCACCTCCCACTATGACTACCCCAGAATCTCCTGCTGTTGCCGTCCCAGAACTTCCTACTGTGGCTGACCCAGAACCTTCCATTATGGTTGTTCCAGAAACCCCCACTGTGGCTGTTGCAGAACTTGCTGCTGTGGCTGCCCCAGAGCCTCCTGCTGTGACTACTACAGAGCTTTCCTCCATGCCTGTCTCAGAACCCCCTGTGGCTGTCCCGGAGCTCCCAGCTTTGGCTGACCCAGAGCGTGCTACAGCTGCAGGGTCAGGTGTTTCTTCCCTGGAGGCTTCTGTGCCTGTCTTGGAACCAGCAGTATCAGTCCTTCAACCTGTTATGGTGGTTTCAGAACCATGTGTTCCTGTCCAGGAACCTACCGTGGCAATTTCAGAACCTGCTGTCACAGTTTTTGAGCATACTCAAATAATATCACCTGAGATGGCTTTAGAGCCTTCACCAACAGTAGTGGAGTCCAGTGTTCTGTCATCACATGTAATGAAAGGAGTGAATTTACTTTCTGGTGATCCAAGTCTTGGTCCAGAGGTTGGCGTGCAGGAGATTCTGTTGCATCCAGGTGAAGAGCCACATGATGGAGGACACTTGAAAAGTGACTTGTATGAAAATGAATATGATAGAAATGCAGAACTTGCTATAAACAGTCATTTCATTGCTAAAGATGTGGAGCATAATACAGTGTGTGCTGCTGCCATTGGTCCTGTTGGTGAAACAAGTGAAGAGAAAGTTTTGCCCGTCATCGAGACAAAGGAAGTCACAGAATTGGATACCTGTCCTGCTGTTAGTGAAGCTGATGTAGGAAGAAGTCTGTCTTCCCAACTTGCTCTGGAACCAGATACAATGGGAACTAGTAAGGGGTTGGAATTTGTCACAGCGTCTGTTCCCAGTTTAGATAGTAAATATGATGTTGAAATATCTTTAACTACTCAAGATACTGAACACGACATGGTGATTTCCACCAGCCCCAGTGGTGGCAGTGAAGCTGACATAGAGGGACCTTTACCTGCTAAAGACATTCACCTTGATTTACCATCTACAAATCTTGTTTGTAAGGATACAGAAGACTCATTACCTATAAAAGAGAGTGACCAGACAGTAGCAGTTGCTCTTAGCCCTAAAGAAAGCAGTGAAGATAAAGAAGTACCTCTTCCCAATAAAGAAACAGTTCCTGATTCAGTATATCCTGCCAGCATTGATGAGATTAATGAAGCTGACTTAGTGAGACCATTACTTCCTAAGGACATGGAACGTCTTACAAGCCTTAGAGCTGGCATTGAAGGACCTTTACTTGCAAGTGAAGTTGAACGGGACAAATTGGCTGCCAGTCCAGTTGTAATTAGTATACCAGAAAGAGCTTCAGAGTCTTCTTCAGAGGAAAAGGATGATTATGAAATTTTTGTGAAAGTTAAGGACACACATGAAAAAAGCAAGAAAAATAAAAACCGTGACAAAGGTGAAAAAGAGAAGAAAAGGGACTCTTCATTAAGGTCTCGGAGTAAGCGTTCCAAGTCTTCTGAACATAAGTCACGCAAGCGTACCAGTGAGTCTCGTTCTAGAGCAAGGAAGAGGTCATCTAAGTCCAAGTCTCATCGTTCTCAGACACGTTCACGGTCACGTTCAAGACGTAGGAGGAGGAGTAGCAGATCAAGATCTAAGTCTAGAGGAAGACGGTCTGTATCAAAAGAGAAGCGCAAGAGATCTCCAAAGCACAGATCCAAGTCCAGAGAAAGGAAGAGGAAAAGATCAAGCTCCCGGGACAACCGGAAAACAGTTCGAGCTCGGAGTCGAACTCCAAGTCGGCGGAGTAGGAGTCATACTCCTAGTCGGCGGAGAAGGTCTAGATCTGTTGGTAGAAGGAGGAGTTTCAGCATTTCCCCCAGCCGCAGGAGCCGCACCCCCAGCCGCAGGAGCCGCACCCCTAGCCGCAGGAGCCGAACCCCCAGCCGCAGGAGCCGCACCCCTAGCCGCAGGAGCCGTACCCCCAGCCGCAGGAGCCGCACCCCTAGCCGCAGGAGAAGATCAAGGTCTGTGGTAAGAAGACGAAGCTTCAGTATATCGCCAGTCAGATTAAGGCGATCAAGAACACCTTTGAGAAGAAGGTTTAGTAGATCTCCCATTCGTCGTAAAAGATCCAGGTCTTCTGAAAGAGGCAGATCACCCAAACGTCTAACAGATTTGGGTGAGTCATGTTTTACATTGTAATAGAGTATGAGTTAAGCTTGATTTCTGATGATCTTGAGTCAAATGGAGTATTTTTGGTTGTTGGTTTAGATATCATCAGTTGTGTTTAGAAAATGATGGGGAAGTGAGTATACTGGAAAGGTTAAAAAGATACGCTATGGGGAGTCTGCAGAGCCTTGATGTATCTGTACTTGTTATTTCACCCTAATTTAAAAAGTTGTAGCTGGAGAAGCCTTGTACATATTTCAACACATGGCTTTTGCAAATAAGCAGAATTTGAAAATTTCTCATTTAGTAGTTGTTTTCTTTGTCTGGCTTTTTTTTTTTTTTTTTTTTTTTTTTTTTGAGACAGGGTCTTAGTCTGTAGTTCATATTGGCATGGAATTTCCCATGTAGCCAGCCCAAAGTGGCTGTGTTCTTTCCTCAGGCTCTTGTTAGCTGGGATTACAGGCTGAGCCACCATGCCAGACTTTAGCTTTCATATCTTAAAATGGCAAGCTAGGATTGTTAAATGGGAAGGTTATTCTGAGTAATATGATTGGTTATTGAAATTAGGAAATTTTATATCTGAGAGTGAACTGGATGAATGATGCAACTTATTTAACGAAGTGGTAATCCTTAATTAATAATCTGTCTCTTACTTTAAAAGTAAATGTTTTCTAGCCGGACAGTGGTGGCATACACCTTTAATCCCTGCACTCGGGTGGCAGAGGCAAGCAGATCTCTTGATTTTGAGGCCATTCTGGTCTATAGAGTGAGTTCCAGGACAGCCAGAGATACACAGAAAAACCAAAAAAAAGAAAAAGAAAAACTCTTTCTTATTAAAACTTTAAGTATGATTACCTGGCGGGTAATTTTTTTGGATAGGGCAGTCTTTAAAGAAAAAGACAAGACAGAAAATTTGTATTCAGTTTGAGAAGAGTTTTCTAATGTCTCTTTTTCTCAGAACTGAGGAACAAGTAATAACTCTCAGTGATTGTAAGTTAGTGAAGGAAGCTGCTAGAATGTACTCCTTTTTCCAAAGGACAAAACTTAGAGTGTGGTGGTTGGCCTAGTACTAATGGTGTAGGGGCACATTTGCACAGTGGAGAGGAGTGTTAGTTCTTACTCAGTTTAAGGCTTCGTGAAAGAGATGGCACTTGAGGCTTAATAAGGGATTAAGTTGTTGTCAGATTAGAGTGAGATTTGTCAGAGGGGGGTGGGGAAGGTGTGGGTGGCGGGGACTAACTTTGTAGCCCACTATGTAGCTGAGGTTGATCTGAACGTCTAGTACTACTGCCTCTACCTCCCAAGTGCTTGGGATCGTAGTTTTCTGTAATACTGGGCTTTGAGCATGCTTGTGCATGCTCACTAAGCATTCTTAACTAAGCTGCATCCCTAGCACGAAATGAGAATGGTTTATGTATGGTCATTACTAGTTTTAGGAAATAATGTTGCTTTTGGCAAACTTGTGCCTTATAATTTGTGGCTAGGTGATCATCATAGACTCATAGTAAGCTATTGTGTGTAGCATTTGAATTGGAAACAAAGAATAGTATTAATTGTTGAAAAGGGCCCATCTACCTTGTTCCTGGCTGTAACTTAGGGCAGAATTCTGATGCCTTTAATTTTACTGTTTATGATACTTGAGATAGAACAAAAATGTATAGCGTTTAGGAAAACTGCTTCTTGTATTTTTCCTCTTACAGATAAGGCTCAATTACTTGAAATAGCCAAAGCTAATGCAGCTGCCATGTGTGCTAAGGCTGGTGTTCCTTTACCACCAAACCTAAAGCCTGCACCTCCACCTACAATAGAAGAGAAAGTTGCTAAAAAGTCTGGAGGAGCTACCATAGAAGAACTAACTGAGGTAAGCTAGACAGACTTTGTTTTCATTCTTAAATGGATTATTCCATGGATGTTGACTCTGGAGCGTGCCAAAACCTGAATTGTGGGCTGAACTGATAATGGCTGGCACCGAGTGCCCAAAACCCGAAATACAGATGTGGCAGCGGCAGAAGCTCTGTTTAGCAGGCCATTATCCGGGATGGCTAAGCTCCGCTAGCTAAAAAGTTACTTCCCATTACTTTTGCTTTCCAGTTTTAGAAGCCAAACTGACTGAGGAGTGGAACGGTTCGTTTGAATGGAGGAGGTGTTGAGTGAGCAACACGCAGAAGCTCGCCTACAGTTTCGTTTCCATTCACGACGTGTTCACTGATCGCCAAGAGTGTACTGCATATACGCAAAGACACAGACAATCTTCAGAAATGATCTTTTGCCACCGGAGCTTGGAAATTAATGAGAATAGCTGGCCATTGCCTGAAAGGAACTTCTTTCGCATCAACATTTCGGGTTTTGGCTGTTTGGTACCAGCCATTGGCGATAATGGCCGGCCATTATCAGTTCTTCCTGCGGTTCGGGTTTTGGCAGTAACATATTTTAAATATACTTATTTTTGTTTTTAAAAAAATTGATCTTTTGAAATTAAGGCTTTTTTGGGGAAGCTTTGTTTTACTTTAATATTTTTTGTGTGTGTGTGGGGGGAAGACGCTGAAATATTGCTGCTAGGATCCAGAAATAACACACTGTTTCATATACTGAAACTTGTTATTGGCTAGCCTTATGCCAGCCTGCCACTGTCAACATATTCTGTTCCCATTGGTTACATGCTTGATACACTCTTGTGTTTTTGGCTAATTGAGCTTTTTAATTCTATTGTAATATTTTCAATTGATAATAGATGTGACAAATTCTGCTTGTATAAGACAGGTCTACTAAAATTTACTCTTAACCTTTTTTTATAAATGGAACCTGTTCCTTTGCTTCTGAGGAAGGGATTGACTTTCTATGTCGGACTGCATCAATTGCACCCTCTCCATCATGCCTTATTTTCCATTCTTAAGTTACAGTCCTGAAATAAATTTTAAAAAACATTTATGGAGAGACATGTTACTATTTACTCTGCTGCAAATGTTTAAAATCTTTTACCATACATTTGGGGATTATAAAGTTTCTTGTTTCCTCGCTTAGATTCATTATAGTATGAATTATAACTTAAAAAGACCTAGCAAAAAGCCTCTTGCTTCCTTACCAAATGCAAGCTCTTTATCTAAAACTCTGTGAACGCTTATCTAAAACTCTGAACACTTAGCGTTCTCCTGTGGTTTGCCTCATCTTCAGCACTCTTGTCCTGTCTGACAAGTCTCTCCTGACCAAGATGACTTTCCTTGCCTTCCCATTTCCTCTTCTTTACTATGGAAATTGCGCTTAGAACTCTGGAAGGAATATTCTTTGATTCTCAAACCCTGCCTGAATATTCTCTCTTAAGCCTTTGTTCTTTTAGCACTTATGTACCCTGTTTGTATTATATCAGTTTGTACTTGTTATTGTGTTGCCTCTGTACAAAGGTTCTTCAATTACTTCTTGTATATGTACCCTTGTCTCGTATTAGATTGTAAGCTCCTTTGGAGCAGGGACCATGTCTTTACCTTTTTTTTTTTCCTTTCTTTCTTTCTTTTTTCTTCTTTTCTTCCTTCTTGTTTTTTTTTTTTTTTTTTTAATTTTTCCCAAGACAGTGCCCAGTACAGTGCTCTGCACATAGTAGGTGCTCAATAAATGTTGTTGACTGACTGAGCAGCCAGTGTGTGTTTAAATAGTCTATCTAGTAAGCTAAATTATAGTTCTATAAGTTGTCATAAATGTTGATTACTTGAAATTGATCTTATGTGAGTCTTTTTAAAAAATTACATGCTGTTTGTGTAAACCTTATTCATCTTTTGTTTGTTTTTACTTTAAAGAAATGCAAACAGATTGCACAGAGTAAAGAAGATGATGATGTAATAGTGAATAAACCTCATGTTTCGGATGAAGAGGAAGAAGAACCTCCTTTTTATCATCATCCCTTTAAACTCAGTGAACCCAAGCCCATTTTTTTCAATCTGAATGTGAGTATTAGTAAAGTGCTTCTAGACTGATGAAACCCTTGTGGAGTTTAGTATACTGAGTACTGTATATACCAAATAGTATAAATATTAGTATATAAATATTGTGATGAGTATTGACAACATTTCCTCTAAAAGTAGGGCTGGGAATGTGGCTCTGTGGTAGTGTGGGTGCTTAGGATGTGTGAGGCTCCAAGTTCAGTTCCTGGCACTGCAGAAAAATGAAAGTCAACATTTCCTTTAGGTTTTATTGAAGTTCTTTAGAAACATTTATGGTGTCTGCTATAATGGATTCTAATTAAATACTGTATTTTAGATTGCTGCAGCAAAGCCAACTCCACCAAAGAGCCAAGTAACATTAACAAAGGAATTTCCTGTGTCATCTGGATCTCAGCATCGGAAAAAAGAAGCCGATAGTGTTTATGGAGAGTGGGTTCCTGTCGAGAAAAACGGCGAAGAAAACAAAGATGATGATAATGTGTTCAGCAGCAGCTTGCCCTCAGAGGTAAGTAGTAGGAATATTACCTGTTTGTTTTTATATCTGAATCTTCCATTTTATTGTTATTTTATATCTGATTTGGATTCTGTTTCACTCTTCTTAGGGCCGGGTTAAACGGCAGGGCCGGGTTAAACGACAGATGAAACAACCCGCAGCTTCTCATTTGACAGTAACTCGATGCAATTCACTTTGTGGAACGAAGCCACAAAGTGAAAAGCATCGAATTGCAGAGAAAAGTGTTATCACATCCCTACCCAACATTGGGCCCTCCATGCACTTGTGGGAAGGTAGCCCAAGGTACAACTATTTAGCTTCCCGTTTTGCTTCAAGGCTCTATAGCTCTAGATTTTGGTGGTAGCAAGTGTATTGGATGGGGAGGGATTGAGGGGAGAGAAGGCAGATCCTCAGGTTCAACACAAGAACTGGATTGAAAGTCATTGTAGGCTGCTGTGAACATCTTGGGTACATAGCCCATTGCCCTTAAGTGATGGTTTCTTACTGTTTCTCTGGGTTTTCAGATAGCCTTTGATTTCAGTAATTTTCCCTTCCTTGTGCTACCTTAGCCCTTTTGAATTCTTGTGTTTAACCTAGTGTTCAGCCTTAGTTCTCCATTCCTTTCTCCTTCCCCTCTTTGCTACTATTAAAAGTTGGAGGAGTGGAATTTATACATTGAAATTTCTCAAGGCAATAGTTGTATCTTGTCAAAATGACGCAGTAACAATGCCAAATGTCAAAACAACCCCATTAAAATGCCGCCTGATTAAGTACTGTGCTGCTAAATACAGTGCACATGAGAACAGCAAAACTGTATATATATGTAAATATATATATATCTGTATCTTTGTATGTATCTCTGTATCTGTATCTTTGCTGTGTCTTTTAATAAACAGTTTACTTTTATTTAACTTGTTGTGCAAAATCACGCTTGGGGATCTGGGAGGGCGGAGACTTGACTAGGGGAGGGGGGAGTTAGAGACTAACAGTCGTCACCTTGACATTCATCCAGGGATTGGACTTAGATACCGCATGCCCTTGTGGACTCCTTTTTCTTGCAGTTCTGGGATATGTAGGTCTGAGAGACCTCTACTCTTCACTCGAGGTTCCCTACATTGGCCATAAACATTTTCCAGTAGACACTTCCAATTCTACAAATAAATCTTGTTTATAGTCAAAGTAAACAGAACTCAAATCAGAACTTTTCATGCAGTACTTTTCCCCAGAGATATTCACAGGCGACATTTTCACTGTGTTTTTTTGACCTGCGGCATTTTGAATGGGAACAGTTCTATATAGTAATGCTGATGAACGTAACTGGCCAGTGCAGCTAACCTATTTACAGTTAAAGGGGATGGTCTGTATTCACATGGAGTTCAACAACTGAAGCAAATCAAACCATCAGCAGAGAGGAAAAGGGTATCTAGTTTGGAACAAGTTTAGTGCTTCTCTACTAATCCCCCAAATCGGGCTACTTCCACATCTCAGGAGGGAGAGCTAACGCACATTTGTAGCTAACTTAATCTTCTTGTAGTAGTCGGATATAAACCAGGTGAGGGCTGTACAGAATTAGATGTCCCAATATATATGCTTTCAGTAGTTTATTACAGATTATCATTTAAACAGTTGGGAATAGTTGGGAAGACTATAGCCAGAGAGAATCTCCCATGTAGCAAAGACTTAGAAATATTATAGAATTCTGACATTTTCTTTAGCTTCTGCTGAATCATGGGGAAAATGCTTAGTGCATGTTGATTATATTTTTTGAACAAGAAAGTTTACTTAAAATTTATGACTGCCATTTTCAGTCTCAACATTGGAAGTGATGCTGTAGCCTTTTCTCCCGCCAGAGGTTAGACTCTAATTAAGGGGGCAGTGTTGAGAGAAGACGGAAACACTGAACCAAAGGGAACGCCCTACCAGTGGGTCAGATGAATAAAGCGTAATGTTTCCTGGGAAGAGAAATGCAGAGTGAGACCTGAGCTCCTTACCTAAAGATCTAGTTGCAGAGTGTAGACTAATGAAAAGAATTCCAAACTTTAGGAAAGGACACGATTGTTTTGCTTTCATATATGTATTTCTGAAGCAGTGTTAAAGACGCCTAAGAAAGGCTGACAATTGATAATACTACTCAGCTTGTTACTTACTACCATCTAAGTGTACTATATTTGTAGAGTTGATGTTCTATCAGAGGAGCACTGACCCTTCTGGTTTCAGTGGGGCTTCAAATGAGGTTTTTTTTTTTTTTTTTTATTTTTAAGAGTAATGCAATTTTTTTTTTTGTAAATGGTGAGGTATTTTTAAAATCCTTCTTTTTTGTTTTAATTTTAATAAATATAACTGAAGTTTATGGATCTTCAGTCTTGACCATAAAACATTTCAGCAAAGATGACAGAATTTATCTTCACAAGGGCTAAATATCCTTGTTGTCATCCCTAATCCCACAACTGTCTTGCACATGAGTGTGCTGACATGACCCGGACGAAACTGCGTAAATCCATGTTACGGAAAACAACTCATCAGATGGTGTTCCCTCTGCCATAGCATCGTCTTCCTTCCCAGAAACCAGCCAGCAGCATCCTCAGTAAGGAGTGACTACAGAATTTTCACGATACTTGTGTGAATCTGATTTATAAACAAAGAAAGTTGAAGAATTAATGTTAAAAAACCAGTCACCAAGGACAGTTCTTTACTAAGGTTAGCAAAGGCTCCTGGATAGACTAGAGGTAGTATATATGCACAAATGGTGTAATAACTATAGTCTTTAAGCAGTGTGTTAGGTTTGTTTATTGGCTCCTGTCTACATTCTAATAGCTAAAATTCTCTTGAAATTGGAAACTCTTAGCTTATGAAGTTTATCAAAGCTAACTTCTTGGAAAAGGATGGAAATTGTAACCGGGGTGAAAGCATAGGTTCTTGAATTATATAATACTACTAGATTGTACAAGCCTTGTTACTTACTCTCCTTTTCCCAAGATTTTTATAGGCTGATAACCCTGAATTTCTCTGAAATACTTACATACAAGGAGAAAAATATTAATCCCTTTATAGTAACTCAATTATGGTATAGAATTTTGTATGATAAAAATGTTCATATTTCATTTGAAAAAGTGACTTAGGGATGTTCTATGTTAATGTGCCTTTGCTTTTTGAAGTTGACACTTTTTCATATGAACTGGTGCATTTTAATAATTTTTGTTAAGTATTATTAATGCTTTATAGGCTGGATATTTTGTCTTTAGCTGTTTTATTAGAGTTTCTTTCATGCCTTTTGAGATAACCTGCAGTCACCTGTGTAGGAAATAATTCAGTTTAGCCCTTCACACTTACCTTTATCTCTTTTCTATCAATCACTGACATTCTGTAAAATTCTTAAGATACATTTTTGTTTATAGAAATCACTGGGCTTCACAAAAGGGGAGAGTAGAGTGAATGGATGAGTTGAAGTACAAAGTATGTAGAAGGGACTTAATGTATCTGTGTGTGATTACGGGACATGAAATGTGGTGACCTGATGTCAGCAGTCTTTAGAGGAGCTGTAATCTGCTTTACATAAGGATTACAGAAATGGGATTGCTTTTTTTTAAAATTAATGTGAGAATAGTAATTGAGGACACCATGTGTACATTTTTTTCCTTTTAGGCGAGGGGAGTTCAGCATTTCTGCTCTAGTACCTAGAGTAGTGCCACCACTCAGTCACTTTGCAGATGTGTATTTTATATACTGGGAAGCAAACTGACCTGTTCATGTGTCAGTGGAAAAGAAACAAAGCATGTTGATATTGACAATAGTGTTACAGATTTAAAAAAAAATCTCTTAGTTTATAGAGGGAGATCTTGGAACCTTTCTCATATTTCTTTCTTTTGACAGGCTGGTTAAGATTTTAAAATATTTTTTTTCAGTGAAGCAGTCATCAGCCACTAAAGTTCTCAAATGCCAAGTGTTAACTGTGTGTGTGTTTTCCCAAGACAGGGTCTCTCTCTCTAGCTCAGGCTAGCCCAAATCCATGTGCCTCTGCCTCCTAAATGCTGGGATTACAGCTGTGTGCCACTATGCCCAGCTACCTGTTGTATTTTATGTGTTTTAATTAGCTATGTAACATTTGATCTGATGCTTGAATATTAATGCTTTGGGAACTGTAGTTACTTAACCCTTTATGTTTTAGCATATAATATGAATTAACCAGCAGAGCTATATTCCTCCAACCTAAGATAATCTAGATTATCTCAAATTTGAGTATATTTTACATTAAAAATAGCCTAAGTAAATTTTTGGTATAAACTTCTTGCTTTATTTGCTGAGCCTGTTGAAAAGTAAATGCAAATGTTGAAAAGTAAAAGTAAAGTATTAGGAAATAGTTGTAATTTATTTAAACATCAAGATTATTATATTAAACGTGCCTTTTATAATGAGATAGATTTAATAAGAAGTAGTGTAAATTTAATATGTAAATATTAATATGAAATAGTACTGAGACTTAAGGGAGTTTCATTTGGGGAATAGAAAGAGTACTTAGGTTATTTCTTGATAAGGTTTACAAGAAAAATGTGGTAGGTAAATAGGCCTGTAAAGGATAAATTATATTTTTTTGTTTTACTTAGATTTAGTTTTTGGAGCTAAGTGTATTTTTATGGCTACAAAGTTGGAACTATATGTTGGAAACTGGAAGGTTCTGATTGGAATGAGTAGACACATTTTCCCCAGGGTCTTTCAGCATTTAGTCTTTTAAGAATAAAAACTTACTATGACTTAGCACCCATAGGTTTGCAAATTGCTCTGACACCAAAGTCTAAGAAGGCTAATGTGATTGTGTGTGTCTCATTTGGTTGTTTGGTGGGTCTACACAAACAAAAATATCTACAAGGTAATTCCACTAGACAGTTTAGGTAAAATCCAAGGTAGGCCTAGGAAATAGAAATTTTGGTCTGAAACAACTATATTCACAGTGCAAGACCCAGGAATCACGTGGAGCAGATTTGAGTCCCAGAAGTCAATAATAGTCAAAGCAAAAGGTGACTGTAGTATTCTGGTGTGACTTTTACATAGGCTGTCTTAACTTTTGTAGGCCTTAAGAATAAATAGAGCATGGATAATACTGTTAACTAAGCAAGTGAGAGCTTTCACTGACATTAAGTAGTCTAATAGGCACAAATTATGTTTAATTTCTTTTTTGCATTATAAGCCAGAAAAGTATACTTTTTTTTTTTTTTAATGATTTAGTCAAAGGAGTCTTGGACAATTTTAATCAAGATAACTTAGAATAATATATAAGTGAATTTGAAGTTGGGAAAAGGACACTTAGTCCTTATATATTCTTACTCCTGAAGCTTCCTTTGGTATATAGATTTATTTTTGTAAGAATTATACACAGTACACAGTGAAATTATTGCTAGCTTCTATTTATTAAAAAAAAAGCTGTTTTACTGATATATGTTTACAATATCCATGCAGAACCTATGTATGTGAAAACAGTAAGTCCTTCTATGAGATAAACATTTTATAAAAAAATTTGTGCAGAACAGCTGGAAAACACTAGTATGTTAAATGATACTAGTTTTCGTTCTGTGGTTTAGCCCTTAAATCTGACAGCTGAGAATCTGCTGTAATGATGTCATCTGCTTAGCACAAGAGGCTGTGCTTTCATTGTCTAAGAGATCTGGGATGCTGGTGACTTCCCTCACGTGCTGACCACTCAACTACGGGTGCCTCATGAGACCTTAGCCTAAGTTTTCAAAGGTAGACAATAGGATTTTTGGGGGAGGACTTAAACACTTTTAAAAACAAGTGTTATTTCTAGATTATGGTAATAAATGTATGTACATTCAAAAGAGCTATATATTAAATGTAATTTTTTAAGATTCTGGGTTTGTAGGAGCAAAGCATATCCATGCCCAACTGTGCTCTTGTGAAACCTGCTGATGAGTAAAAAGCCATGTTGACTCTAGTGGTGGTCTGCTTGCTTATCCACAGACTTTGCTTACTACTCCTGGAAGTTACACTAATAATCAAGTAGAGTAAGGTGAACTGATAAAAGAGCATAGCATAATACAATATCTATAGCCATTCAAAACTACAATCTAAAGGCTACCGATAATGAGTTCATAATGAAACTCAACAGTTTTAGGTTGATACTGTAGAAAATACACTGATGAAATCAGAATTTGGACTGAGTTCTGCCTCTGAATACTTGATAACTAACTTACCTTAATTGTCTTCTATTTTCCAGGAGTGCCCTCTTTGCCTTTCGAATCTTCTCATTTTCCAAGATTCTTAATACATAGACTGTGGTTTATTTTTTTACATGTAGCATCTAAAGATATAGAAGCACCCGAGAGAATTAGGGGACTCTGGTAATTTGGGATAATTATCTATGTTTTCTTTCTTAGCCTGTGGACATCTCAACAGCAATGAGTGAACGGGCACTTGCTCAGAAGAGACTCAGTGAGAATGCATTTGACCTTGAAGCCATGAGTATGTTAAATCGAGCTCAAGAACGGGTATGTGGCTTTTTTAATTTTAAATAAGAATTTCACTATCTAAATGGCTGATTCATTACAACACTGGTTGTAAGGAACCATTATCATTTTTGGATGTGTTAGTTGGAACTGGACTCAAAGGCTATACATGCTGTTTCATACTTGATACTTGTTATACTTTGTTCTGTCTTAGTAACTGACTTACTTTAAATAAAAATGACTTAAACCTAATAACGAAGAAAATGTTTATTGTATACTACGGCAAGAACTATTTATTGAGGACAAAACAGAAAATCTGTTCTGCTCTCAGAGTTTAGAGTCTGATGTGCACATAGGTGCCTAGAACAACTCCATGTAGTACTACTGTTATTCTCCCTGTTTCAGCTAAGCAAACTGAGCTACAGCAGTAGTCAGCAGACACCCACAACTAGTAAGTGGAATTGGGGTTCACACCCAAATAATGAATCCAGAGTCTGCTTTGAACAGGAAGGATACAGCTTTTCATTTTATGCTAAATCTATGTAGGAACAGTTTAGGTAAGAAGCAACATTGCATTAAATGCAATATGAAAGACACCTGATTCTGTCTATAGCACAGTAGGTGTTGATGAGTGATATGGTCTACTTTTTCTGTTTTTGACCATTTTCTACATTATACCTTGGATAGATACAGATTATTATTTCACAGGAAACAGTCAAAGATCTGTCATGACATTTTTAAAGGCATTTGTATGAGAGGTCAAATGTCAAAGGCAGAGATCTTTGGCCATACATTTTTCATAATATCTGATATTTTAAAGAATGAGTATTACAGTGATAGTTTTAGACATAGACATGAACTTCATACCTTCTTCTGCATTAGTAGATTTCATTGAATGCTGTAAAACTGGAAGACTTGGGAAGACATTGAACTTTAAATATATCATTATTTGGCTATTTTAGGAACCAAACCGTTTTTCCTCAGTGAATTAAACTACCAGTGTGACACTTTCATCAGATCAGTAATTTTACTTAATGAAGATGGCTTCTTTTTCTTCAGATTGATGCCTGGGCTCAGTTGAACTCTATCCCTGGGCAGTTCACAGGAAGTACGGGAGTGCAAGTCCTGACACAGGAACAGCTGGCTAATACTGGTGCCCAAGCCTGGATTAAAAAGGTACACACACTATCAAAAAATACAAAGCTAAATTTTTGTTTTTGATAATCATACATTAAAAATGCAGAGGCAAGTGACTAACCTAAGTTCCTGAGTAAGTTTGGTATGTGTATGTGCTCCAGGATGGACACTGAAGATGGGCTGAAATCCTGACACAATACCAAATGCATACATTTGGCTCAATAGCCACTCACTTTATATCTGGAGGTGGTTGTTTTTCATATTTTTTGCTGTTGGTTTTAGTGGGGGTGGTTTTGCTTAACTGTTTTGAATGCTAACTGTACCAGGTGCTGTTCAGAATATTCCGCAGTTCCTGTTGGACTACTAACCTAATCATTTCAGAGCAGTGGTTCTCAAACATTTTCATCACGGGATACTTTATTACAGGTTTAGTTTTGGTGGATCACTACCCCTAAGAGCCCTTTGCCACCCTAATATTCCATTCCTCTATCCTTGCCCTCTCATTACTGCCTGCACCCGCTTATGAGTACCTTTGCTCCTACCTTCCTTTATGAATTCTAGCCCCAGGTCCCTATATGGTGGTCAGCTATTAGATGCAATTAAGCGGTTGGGAGGCCCTAATTAATACTGCATGTGGTAAACTTGCCATGGGACTGGAAGGGGGCGGGAGGGTGGCTGGAATGTGGGGTGGGCAGTTGTGAAGGGGGGTAGGTGGGTGGGATGGGCTGGAGATAACTATCTGTGGACCACCATTTAGGTTCTGGTGGCCTCTGGTGATCCACAGGCTCAATTTGAGAACCACTGACTTCATGAAAAAACAGGATATATAAGACCTAAAATCAAGGGAGAGGACGGACATCTCATGCTACGAAGATGTAGGTGCACCCGATCTCAGATTCCTGCAATGAGATTTGTCAACTCTACCTACGGCTACCTCATTGTTGGGGGAGTCTTAGGTGGTTAAAAGGGGGCTTTCTGAAGACGTGACATCTGGTGAAGGGCTGTGGTTTGGTTGGATGGGTGATGAGAAATTTGTTTCAGGAGTACTGGCAACAGCAGTGCTGAACTGGGAGGCTGCGTGGTCTCTTGGATGGGGAAGGTTTCTTTGTCCTGCTGTACTCCTGACTCCTTGTGTGATCGTGGGCAAGTAATTCCTTGGAATTTCTGTCTCCCAAGTGTCACGTGGTGTGGGAGACAGGTTCATATCAAAGCCTCAGACAGTGGTAATCAGTGATGTGATGGGTACCTATTACCTGTAGAATTGGAATGAGTGCTAGTCATGGGTGAGGTGGATTTTTCAAAAAATAAAATTTTGGTTGCTTTGAACAGTTTTGTAGCAAGCATTACCTGTGATTCTCTTATTAACAAATTAATATAAAGTATCGCACATCTTCATTGTGCTTGCCTTTTTCCTGTTAAATAGTTGCATGAGTATGTACCTAGGCATTGGTTTTGGAAAAAGGGGATAAGCTAGCAGTATTTTTAATGATTGGATTCATTTTATATAGTAATACTTTGTATAAATTATAAAATAGTTAAAAAATAGCTGTCATCTTAGTGGGAAGGATTACGAGTTTACTTTTTTGGGACATTGGACAAGCAAGTTGTCCAGAGCTACACTTTCAGTCCTGCTTCACTCATCTGTCTTGAAGCTGAGTGCTTGGGATTGCAGGAAGTTAGACATGAAGTGTTTTTGAATGTTTATGCTTGTAATAGTTCATGTGCATTGCCAGGTAGAAGCTTCTGGAAGGTTTTCCACTGTGAAATGTGCTGCTCTGTGTTTATATATAAAGAGCAGATAAACATAAGTGAATTTCCAAGGTGAGTCTTCACTTAGTCAAGTGGCTCCCTATGTACTTAAGTACTAATGTTTACTAGAACCTTTAAAATGATTATGCTGTACATTTTATGTAGAATATAATCTGGGAAGCAAATTATTTTGATAAGTTATGTGTTCATCAGACTAAGCTTTACTTTATAGAAGAAATCAACTCTCATAGGAAAATGATCTTATGTAACGAATTGCTGGAGAATATCTGCTTAATGAAAACCAGAGGAGCATTATTTTATTAAAGTAGATAGGCCGGTACATTTAGAATTCATTCGGCAACTGAAAATGTCATTGGTATTTATCATAAGTACTATCTATACCCATAAATTCTGTTTGGGAAATAGGGAAATGGCCATTTGGCCCAGCACTGTACTATATTAAAAACCATAGAGAAACACCAACCAATACCCTCTGTGTTTAGTTTGTTTTAGAATACTTTTAGATTAAGAGGAATATTTCTTTGATACACTCATTTATCAGTAAAACATTTAAAAGTTAATTGATTTTTAAAGGGCCTTTATTTTCTCAAATGATTTGGGATTTGATTTCATAAAAATGTTGGTTATTGTGGTCTCACTAGATTAAGACAGATTTTTACATTGGATAAAGAGGTAGATGCTAGTATAATAGCAAACAGGATTGGAAAATTGGGCTACTCGGGGATTTATATTGTACTCTGTCTGTACAGTTGCCCTTTTTTTTAGGAGTGTTTCCTGGAAAAGAGGGGGAGATGAACCTGGAAGTAAGTAAAGTCATTCTAGGTGTGTAGCATCAAGGCAGTTGATACCCAAGCATCAGCTAACTTTTCTCTTTATACATCCACAATGCATGGCCTGCACCAAATAAGGAACTGAACCAGGGGTATGTTTTTACCTCCACAGCTGCCTCCTTCCATCAGAGCACCTTGTTGAACTTAATGTCTAGTCACATGTCACTGGAATGTTTTCTCCCCAACATTTAATTATAAAGCTGGGAAACAAAGCTTACATATTTTACTGCAGTGTAAAAACATCACTTTTAAGTATCAACTTACTGATAGAAGGAAAAGTAATGCATACTTGCTTGCTGAGCTACCAAACATTTGACTTTCTGTAATGACATGGTATATATTTGGCAGAGAACGTTAGCCTAAAATGTTGTAATAATTGGAAATAAAACATAGTTTAGAGATGCTTCAATTAAAAAGGAAAAAAAAAACCCACATAGATCAACAGCAGAATTCATAGTGCATTGATACCTTTTTAAAGAGGCACTGGACATTTCTCAGCTGGAACATCCAAGACTGCTGACCGTGCTAATGCACACAGTTGTGCAGCTTAGGACATTAAGTGGTTTGCTGCTTTGATGGAAATTATGGTTCAGTGGGTTGGATACAAGAGAGATGATTGTTCACAGAATAACCTGTGAACTTTCACCCCTCTGTATGGAAACTTGTTTCAGGGCCAAATCCTTGTAGCTGTCTTCTTGCCCCGGTCAGTGCCAGCCGTACTATTCACAACACTGCTGCTACCGAGGCCTAGGTATGTAAACATTTAAGGAGTTTTTTAAGTCTTTTAACATCAAGCCAGGTTTTAGAAGAATTCAAATTTGGTATACTCAGGGTATTTTATGTACTTATTTTCAACTTATTACATGTAAATTTACTCTTTCATAGGGATTTTCTAAGTAAAAATGTGATACTTGCTTTATAGTAGAATGGGGAAGAAAACTGGATGACAACTGTATGCTTCTTCAGTGTGCAAACTATTTTAAAATAATTTCTAGGCTTTATTCATAAACGAGGTATACCTGAGATCCTAATATTGACTGTTTTAACATTGCCTTCTTTTTATTTTGCAAGCTAAGAAGAGATACCAGTGAACCTAAATAGTGGACGGAAACAGGAGTGGCTCTTTTGTTGTTTTTTTTTTTTTTGGAGGGGGGCACCGAGGGGCGAGTGTTAAAATTGCCATTTGACTTTCAAATTGTTGGTAATTATCATTAGAACATATGCTACAGAGTGTATTGAGTATAGAAGAAGAATTTAAATTTAATGCTACTTCAGATCTAGAAGTAAAGTAAGATTTCTTTTTCTTAAGTTACCATTCACTTTGTAGTTCAGTTCTAACTGTAAAATGGGGGCCTCTTCCCTTTTTTCTTTGGATAGGATCAGTTCTTAAGAGCAGCCCCAGTAACTGGAGGAATGGGTGCTGTCTTGATGAGAAAAATGGGCTGGAGAGAAGGAGAAGGGCTAGGCAAGAACAAAGAAGGGAATAAGGAGCCCATTCTCGTTGACTTTAAGACAGACCGGAAAGGTAAGTTCTTTCTGAAATTTCGACCTGGTAAAATGGGTTGAGTCGTGTTAACTTATTGTTGACCTTATTTTGGTCCTAGTGATCATGAACTGGAGACAAATAATGAACGGCTCTTGGCTAGAGAAACTTTTAACACATTTTTCACACATAGCATCTGATTTCTATTGATGAAGATACTAGTTTGAACTTTGAAATGACAACTCGCATTGTGCTAGTTATTATGAAAACCTGTGTGAGTTTTGAATAAATTTAAGAAATTTCTTTTGTTCTTAATGGAGACCACCACACGCTTGCCCCCCCTCTTTTTTTCTTGCTACATTTATTTTTGGTTTGTGGGTATAGGCATGGCATGGCAGGCACCCTTACCTGTGGAAGCATCATCCTGGTCCATTGTTTGGTTGTCTGTTTTATTTTTTAAAATGATTTATGTATGTGGATGTTTGGTCTGCATGTATGATTTTGCATCTTATATATGTCCAGTGCCCATAAAGCCCAGCAGAGGGACTAAAGTTACAGATGGTTGTGAGCTGCAGGGATGCATGGAATCAGGGTCCTCTCAAAAGAGGACTGGTGTTACTAATTGAGCCATCTGTCAGGCTTGTTTGGTTGTCTTTTGAGACAAGATCTTGCTGGGTCTTGCCTGGCCTTGAACTTCCAGTGATCTTCTTGCCTTGTCTCATGAGATCGTGAATCTTTATTTCTAAGGTGTGATTTTCTTTTTTCCCTCACATCCTTCTTAGACACTTTACATAGTTTAATTTCCTATTAGTTTCTACTACATAAACCATTTTTGCTTATCTTTTTAAAGTTTAGTATTTGTGTTGTAGGTTAAAGCATAGATCAGCTGTGGTCAGCAATATTACTTCTTCATTACCTCCTGTTTGGGCTCCTTGGAATTGTTACTGCTGATAGCTCTTTTAGAAATGTGCACATTGTAACTAAAGTTAACAGCTAGCTAGTAACATTCAAAGTAGAATCACAACAGGTTGGTAGCTTATATTACTTGTTTAAGTAGGCTTAATCTTTTAAGATAGGGGCCAAGCGTGGTGGTGCATGCCTTTGATTCCAGCAGAAGCAGGCAGGTCTCTTTTAAAGTTTGAGGCCAGCCTAGTTTACAGAGCAAGGTCTAGGACAGCCATGGTTATGCAAAGAAACTCTATCAACAGCAACAAAAACAGCCTTTATTCAAGCACTCTGGAGGCAGAGGCAGGCAGATTTCTGTGACCAGCCTGTTCTATATAGTGAGTCCCAGGACAGCCAAAGCCACACAGAGAAATCCTAACTTAGAAAAAACAAAACAAAGACTTCTCACATTCTTGGATTACAGGCATGTGCTACCAGGCCTGATTTTTAGAAACTGGATTTATTTTGAAGTTCAACAATAAGTTAGAGTTAAATTTCCGTGGGTGTGAAAATAGACTTATCTGTGAATCCAGTTAATATTGTATAATTCTAGGGAGCCTCCACATTGAAGTTACTCAACATAATGTGTGGATTTTCAGATAGTGGTTGTTTCCTAGAACAGGTTTGAGGGAGATTTATATACTAACAATGGAGTGGCTGAGAAGTTTGTTGCTTAACGACACATGGAAAGTGGGAAAAGCACTGTTTGGGGGTTTACAGCATTACTAATTTCTATGTAGTAAACTTCTATGGGGAGGGGGTTACATTTGTTAAGAAATCAAGTTATTTCCTATGATAAATGGGCTCATCATTGGGGCACTTCCTTTTTCACTGTGTATGCCTTTGTTTTGTGGGGATCAAACTCTTAACTTCATAACCGAATTTAAAAGATGAATTTGTAAAGTTACTTGCAGTTAGTAGCCAACTTTTTTTTAAACTTGTAGGAAAAAAAAAAGACTGAGATGCTGACAGTTACATGACACTTCTCTTGAGTGCTCACACATTGTGTGCACTTACATGGAGGTTAAAGATCAATATCCTGTGGTATTCCTCAGGCACCATCCACCTTGATTTTTGAAACAGGGTTTCGCTGGCCTGGAGCCCACCAAATGATTGATATGCTGGATGGCCAGTAAAGCCCCAATGCTGGAGTGACAAGTGTGTGCCAACACAGATGGCTTTCAAAAGTGGGTTCTGGGGCTGGAGCTCAGATGCTTATTATGGCAGTGCTTTGTGACTGAGTTGCTTCCCTAGCCCCTTAAGTATGTTTTCATTGGTAGGAGTATAAAGTAAAAAATTATGTACTGAAGTGGGAAAACAGAAAGTCCCTTTTGATATAAATCTACCGAGTATTTTATTTGAAGGCATGAAGGTTTCAGCAGTGGGAGGTGTTTTTCCCATCTGTTACAATAAAAAAAAATAATCTTATAAATTTGGCTTTCTTTTCAAGGTCTTGTTGCAGTAGGAGAGAGAGCACAAAAGAGGTCCGGGAACTTCTCTGCTGCAATGAAAGACTTGTCGGGTGAGAACAAAGCCTGCTGAGTTCTTCTCGCCACAAGTTGTTGCAAAGGTGGTGGAAATCTTATAACTAGTTGTTTTTCTCTCTACAGGCAAACATCCTGTGTCTGCCTTGATGGAAATCTGTAATAAAAGAAGGTGGCAACCACCTGAATTTCTCTTGGTCCATGATAGTGGCCCTGATCATCGCAAACATTTTCTCTTTAGGGTAAATATAAACTTACATTTACTAATTAGAGGGTTAAGGGATAAGTGTGATACAACTAAAGTGGGCTGTATCTGTGGGTGGGTTACAGATGTGCATAAATGGGTAAAATGGGTTTTTAAATTTAAAAGGGTACTTTAATGTATAAATAAATGGTCTTTTAGAAAATTAAAGGGGAGGGAGGGCATGGGCAAATTCTGGCTAACATTTGGTAATTTCTAGGGGAAGGTGGGGGTAACTAATATTTTTATTAGTGCTTTTTATTTTTAAATGTGGAGACCTGCACTTACTTTGCAGTTTCCTTTAAATCATTTACTGTTTCTGGGCTGAGATTAATTTTTATATAATTTGGGGTTTATAATTTATAAATTAATTTTAGAATTTAGTGAAAAAGTACAAAGCTAATAGATATTAAAGTTTGATGCTGTTCTTATTGTATGTTTTTCTTGAATAGGTATTGAGAAATGGAAGCCCTTACCAGCCCAATTGTATGTTTTTCTTGAATAGGTATTGATAAATGGAAGCGCTTACCAGCCCAGCTTTGCCAGCCCTAATAAGAAGCATGCTAAAGCCACAGCAGCTACTGTGGTTCTTCAAGCAATGGGCCTTGTACCAAAGGACCTCATGGCTAATGCCACTTGCTTCAGGAGTGCCTCACGTAGATAGATTGAGGTTTTATATTAATCATTTCAGATAATTTTACTCTGCATCACAATGTATTTCCTCCTTAATGTTGTAAATATTTCACAATTTAAGACATTGTGTATAAAAAGCAATCTGTACAAACATCTCCAGGCTTTGGTTTTTGTACCATGGAAATTGTATTTAACCATACAGGGTTTTGGTATGTTTATATTGTTTACCTTAGTGATGTATTTGTTCAAGTGGCTAACATCAAAACAACTGTTTGAAGGCATCAGTAATATTCAGTGTGGAATGTTAAATAACGCTTTTATACTGTATTTTGTACTACGATGTAACTCCCCTTCCTATGGCTAGGCTGCTGTAACACTTGCCTGTAATCAGTGAAGGGCTGTGCACCTTGTACTATTTCACAATGGGTTCTGCTGGACAGATACTGGGCCAGTGTTATTAAGGTAATGAAGCAAGATCTGTTCCACAGGGCTAATGCCACCATCTCCCCTTAAATTTTTGTAGAGGTTATGAAAAGAAAGTGATATGTTGTGTCATGATCAGCACTAAATACTGCATTCCCATTAAAGCCACTTGGGTCATAAGAAGGGAGTCAAAATGGAAGTTCAACTAGAATTTTACTTCAGAGGCCAAGTACATATTTAGTATGGCTTGAGTTGTGA